GCAGCCCAGCTCCAGGTTGAGCTGTTGTTCAGCATCTTAGCTGTAGAGGGCAGTGTCACTGGCCCTCATACGTGGGATCCAAACCGGGGCCCTCTGGCGTCCCAAGCCAGCTCTTAACCAACGCGCCACTCGGGCCGGCGCGCCACTCGGCCGGCCCTCACATTGGTGTTTTTTAGAGCGAGCTAATGGCGCGAAACTGAAGGCCAGGAGGGCAATAAGAAGGTCACTGTGTAGCAAAAGGTCATTTGTCTCTTTACATAGATTTAATGAGGAAGGAGTCAGGATACAATCATTTTTATTAATGCTGCTGGATTTTACAACCAAATAACCCTTCTACTTCATTGTTTTATTTTCTAGATGAAAGAGCTCCTCAAATGAATCCTCTCTTCTGTGACATAGAGCCACAGAAGAAGGGCCCAGCAGGCCTTCCTCTGGGGGGCACAGCCAGGAGTGCCTTTCCCAGCAAGCTCCCCAGTGAAGCCTTTCTTACCCCATCTACAACCTTCCTTTTTCCCTACCTCTTAGTTTCATCCCTCAAGAAAATCCCCACTTTAGCACCAGGTGCCAAGGGTCCCTAGACCTGTCACACTCAGTAGCAGCACCCTGGCCTGTCCAAGTGAATTGCCCCAGGCCATGATATCTTCCCTCACGATAGGAGGGGCAGAAGCCTCCATCTCACTGCTGAATCCCCAAAGGCCTCTCCCTCCAGGAAAGAGGGACTCTGCCTCTCAGCCTCACCCATTACCAGAAAATGAGCCTTTGAGCTAAAACCACAAGTGTGAACCAGCAAGCAAGTGGGTGGGTGGGGCCAGCTCAGGGGATGGGCTGGGAGCCTTCTATTCTCCACAAGCAGCAGGGCCCACCATGGGGGTAGCATCAGGCTTTTCTAGTTTGGCAACTTGGGGGATTGCCTGTGTTCAAAACACCTAGTAAACATGTTCCAGAGGCAAAGGGAAATAAGTTGGGAGTCAGTTTCTTCACCTAGCACAGGTTCTGGACGTTTTTAAACGATCCCATTATGACTTGCAGTACCTGGGTACTTGTCAGAAAGGCAACTTGTGGCCTACCCCAGACCCACTGAACCAGAAACTCAGCCATCTGTGCGCGAACAAGTCGCTGCACTGTGCTTTGAAAAGGTGGTTTTGACCCGCTCCAATGGAGAAGCACTGAGTGAAAGGCCTCTTGGTACAATTTGTACCCACGGAGGGGAGTGGAGGCTGCAGGGGTTCCTCACTCCACAGAGCTCTCTAGCTCCCCTCAACACACCCACACCCACCCCGCCGCGCCCAGGCCCCTGACCCCTTTCCCTCCTTCTCTCAACCTCAGTTTCTCCCTAGAACCCTTGGACCTCCTGGTTCCCAAACCGGGATTTCCTCATTGACCTGACTTTGTCTCTCCCTTCCCTACCAGCACCCTAACCCCCTCATTGCCCAGTTCATGCCAACCCTTAGCTTCCCAAAACTCTTCTTACTCCCCAGTCCCCCTCTTGCTTCCCCCACACCCTCCACCCCCGTGGCCCTGCCGTCAGCCCTGGCACCTCACTCGGTTGCTCCTTCCAGCCTGCCAGCCCCTGGATCCCTGCCCAACCCGCAGGCACTCAGGCCTCCTCGCCGTCAGGCCCCACGAGCACCAGTGGCTGAGCGTTCTTGCCCTTGTCGTGCCAACACACGTCGAAGAAGGGGTACACGGGCCCGGGGAGGCGCTCGCGGAAGGCAAAGAGCGCCTCCAGCGCGTCAGCATCGCTGGCGTTGTAGAAGGAGAGGACGCCATCTCCAAAGCTCAGGTAGACGCCGATGCGCGCCGGCCGCCTTTCCGGGCTGCGCAGCGCGCGTGGCTCCTTGGCTTCCACGTGGGCCTCCAGAACCTTGCCTTCGCGCATCCCCAGAAGCCAGAAGCCCTGCGAGGGCACAGTGTGCAGCCGGCCGCGGCGGGGGGCCTGGGCGGACATGACGCCGAGTGCCCAGCGCGGCTTGTCGCCCACCACCACCTCCCAGTAGTGCTCGCCTGTGGAGAGCAGCTGGTGCGCCACCAGCGCCACCGCCTTGTCGAACTGGCGCGGGTCCTCTCCTGCCGGTGGCGCCTTCTTCTCAGAGCACTCCACGCGGCGGCAGGAGGGAGACAGCACCAGGCTCGGGTGGGCAGTGCTGGGATCAAAGGTCAGCTCCTTCATCACTGCCAGAACAAGACGCATCAGGTTCCTGCGTGCTTACCTCCCCTCTCCCCCCAGCTTTTTCCCACAGCCTGCTGAGGGGCTACCCTCGGCTCCTCTAATCCTCCCAGCCCCTGGGGGGAGGCAAGAGGGGACTGTGACCTTTCTCTGTTTACTCACTTCTGCCAAAGACTGCACTTTTCTGAGCTTCAGTCGGCTCAGTGGTAAAGCAAGTCCATAATTTCCTCCTTCTAGGGTTGTAGGTGGATTAAGTTGATACAAAGCATATAACTCATCATCTAAAGCCCAAATGACAAGGTAGGAGGCCAGCCTCCACCTCATGGGGCTGTGTGACCTGTCACTCTTGACCTAGTTTCTAGGTCTTAGCGTTCTCTTGGATAAAGCAGAGGCCCCTCCATCCGCCCCCTGCCATGTGTACCCATCCTGGAGCCTGTAACCTACAGCGCTCCATGTGCTCCAGCTCTTGGAGAAATGAGGCGAAGCTCTTCGGCTTCCCCAGGCATAGGTCACCAGAATCAGTGAACGACCCAGGCCAGTACCCAGGGTTCCAGCTCTGCAGATCCTCAGGCTCCAGTTAGTGGGCATTATCGTCTCCACAGTCCAGAAGGGGCAGGGAACACACAGGCTCATACCCAGACCCCAGCCTCCCCTGCTGCCAGCAGCAGCAGCACCCTCTCCGGAAGCAGCATCTTTTCCCCATCAGACAGCTTCCTGCAAAGCCCATACCCTCAAAGGTCCTCTTAGTGCAGGTTATGAGGGAGGGTAGAGGGAAGCCCCAGAGATAAAGGGGCAATGAGCACCTTTTTCCAACGACCTTCCCGTCAACCACACAGTTACAAACATAAACGCCCGCCAAATACCTGGCATCAGCGCACGGAACATCTTCCTCCACACTTGGAATTTGAAATCATCTGAGATGATGGGCAGCTGGATGTCCAGACGGGCAGGTGGCGGTGACTCTGTCAGGATTTTCTGCAACCTGGGGTGGAGAGGTGTGGGGAGGTGTCTGTGAAGGGACTTCAGAAGCGACGGGAGGCGGGGGGGGGGCAAGAGGCAGTACCCCAAAGAGAGGAGGGCAGGTCTGTGCTGGAGTTCCAGGGTCTCCCCGCATCACACCCTGGCTTAACCCTTTTGCCGCGATGGTCAGATATATCCAAATGAATATATCCAAAATTTTTATACATAAAAATTATGTCATTTATATACAAAACAGCTCAAATTGTTATTAAATGCATAAAATAGTCAAAATGTCCACTTTTTGTTTTTGCGGATTTCTGACACACTTTGAAAAAAAAACAACTTAAAATCAATTAACACAGCAAAAGAGTTAAAGCCCCTTTGATGAATTTCCAGTTTGAAAAGATGAAAACTTCTGGAGAGGGACGGTAGTGATGGTTGCACAACAGTGTGAATGTACTTAATGCCACTGAACCTAAAATGTATACTAAAAAATGCTTTAAATAGTCAATTTGATGTTATGTATATTTTATCACAATTTTGTTTAATCTTCTGTTAGGATAAGGTCCAAGCTTCTCAGTCTTCATGATTTGCCCCCACCTGCCACACCAGCTTCATCTTCTCTCCCTCATACCAATCTCTGCAATGCTCTTCCCCCAACTCCTCCCCCAGCCAAGTCCAGTCCATCCCCCAGCACCTAACACGAATGTGCACTCTTCTGGGAAGCCAGCCCTGGCCACCCACTTCCCTCTTCTGCAGCACTGAGCCCACAGTGATGCTCACGGCCCTGCCCACATCTGCCTGGGAGGTCCCTGAGAAGATGGATCCAGTCAAATACATTTCTGTGTTCAACACAAAGTGCAGGGAAATTGCAGTGGGCTGAATAGGGGTTTGCAGGCATATTGTGAGGAGAGGGGGAGCCAGCCAGTGTCCCTAAAGCCTGGGCAAGTTGGGAAGGGATCAGGGCCCGGTTGATCTCACCTGCTGGTCACCAGGCAGTATTTCTGGAGAGAGAGAAAAAGAGAATGGAGGTGAGGCAGTCAATGGAGACACTGAGATTTCTGAGGATGGGGTGGAGCACCAAGAATGCTGACTGTAGGGTCATCAAGAATCAGAAAAACCAAAAGAAATCCAGAGTCAAGGCTACCCTCAGCCCTTTATCTCTGTGTAAATTAGAAAAAGGCACCCCCTTCCTCAAAAAACTAATTGTACCTGGTAGAAGACTGTCCTAATACATATGCAAATCTGCATCTATGATATGAATGGTTCCTTCTTTTGCAGTGCCCAACCCCAACAACCATACAGCTGGACTGGGGCCCATCCCTCCTCCATGTGTGACCCTGTCTTGTCCCTGCCCCTCTCTGGACATCAGGGTCCCTGTCTGACAACAGGATGAGGTCTGTAAGGCCTGAAACCAGGCCGAGAGACAGAGAGGGAAGGTCACCCAGTGCTCACCGTCAGGAACTCAGTCTGTGGCTTGTCCGCCACCTGCTCCAGCACCTTGTCCATCTGCCGCAGCTGCTCCAGATAAGAGTTCAGGCTCCCCAGCTCCCGCTGCAAGGCCACTCCTGCCTCATTCCTCACGCGCTCAGCCTCACGGTCCAAGGAGCCCTCCAGTGCAGCCAGGAACACTCGCATCTTGCCCAGCTGCTCCCCCACTGCCCCCCGGAACTGATGCACTGTCTCCTTTGGGGGCAGACAGGCAAACGCACTTGACTGGGGACCTGCAGCCCGGACCACCCCCACCCCCCCACCGCCCCAGGCTCTGTCACGCTGAGACCCTCACCTCCACCTCCATCAGCTGATGCTCCAGCACAGCAACATTCTTCTCCTTGCACATGCATGCCTCCTGCAGCTGCAGCTTCTGCTGCGGGAGCTCTGTCTGAAGGGGTGGCGGGGAGACATAAAGAAGTGATGCTGTCACCCCCCCTCCCGCCTAAGCCCACACCTCTCACCCTAAATCTGCCCTCATGGCTCAGCCTCAATGCCAGCTCCTCCTCCGACCAACCTGGCATCTTACTATTCCCCAAACCTTCTTGCAGGTCTCCGGGCCCTGGGTGGTACTGGTGCTGATGCCTAGAATACCTTACCCTCCCTTTGTCCACTTAGGTAAGGCCTCCCAGCCTGATCCCATCCCCTCAGCAGTCAGCCCCCCAGCACAGGTCTTTGGAAAAATGACAAACATAAATGTGATTGCACCTCCTCCACCAGAGCTTGGCACACAGCAGTCAGGCTTGGAGTGNAAGAATGCAATGATGGTGCCAACTTGGGCCAGTGAAGCAACATCCTCCACAACTAGACTGAAGAACAAAACAACAGCAACCTGTCTGTTCCTCTTCCCCCGATTCCCCAGCGCTGTTCCCATCCCCCAATTCCCCAATAAAAATCTTTTAAAAAACCACACATTTTACTAATGAGATAATGGTCAACTGTCCAATATAAAAAGGGACATGCTGTAAAAATAAAGTGTGACCCTTCTTCTTCAAAACGCTCCTGTGTCTCCGCTCCTTCTTCTTTTGCCTCGCCGACTCTGTCCTCACCTGAGGGAACCCCTGGACCTTGCAGGAGCTGGACTCCCGCAAATTTCAGTAGAAATTACCTCTATCCCCAAAGGGACTTTAGACAAAGGCCAGTCTTTCTCTCAAAAGACCACTTGTTTTCTGAAGAATTCAGGCCGACGTGCCACAACTATGACTCAGACAACAGGCAAATAGGCCTCCACCGCATTCACACGCACAGGAAAAAAAAATTTTTTTTAAATACAATTCCCAAATAAAGCCTGGGGAGCTTCAGATGAAAAATGTTGGCTCAGATCCAGGAGAGAACTCACCTGAGGCTTCTAAGCAGGGGAGCAAAGTATAGAACCCTAACGGCTAAGCAAGTCCTCAAAGGTGGTTTGCTCACGGTTCAGAAGCTGTCAGAGCTACTTAGTTCTTCTCTGGATCCTGTACGAGCCCCCAAAAGTGTTAATTGGACATAAAGTATAACTTTTTAGATACTTTTTATCAGTGGGAGGGAAAGACATTCCCGGCAGAGTTGTATGGTGTTGGGAGTGGCCCAAGGTGAGGCTAGAGAAGAGCAGGGCACCTTGAATGTGCGGCTGAAGACAGGGCTTTCTCCTGTAGGCAACAAGGAGTTGTTGAAAGTTTGGGGCCACTGAGTCATGTGACCACATTGGCATTTTTATTTTTATTTTTTTTAAGATTTTTTTATTCGGGAATTGGGGGAAGGGGAACAGACAAGTTGCTGTCCTTTTGTTCTTCAGTCTAGTTGTGGAGGATGTTGCTTCACTGGCCCAAGTTGGCACCATCAT